ACATAATTTTTAACCGATTTTGCTCATCAGTATCTTATTAAAAAGATATTTTAATTATCTATCAAATGAGTATATATTAATAACTGTTGAAATAAGTAACAAAAATAAAAAAATGACCTTGAATTGAAAAATTTCTGTTTTTTGTGCTGAAAACCCAAAACTTTGGGAATATCGTTTTTTTGGTCAATGGCATATTGCTAGGGGGTGCGCTCATTAAAAATCGCATTTTAGTTTTTCTAAGCCACCCTAATGAAGCATACTTCAATGAAGAAGCGGGCTCATTCTATTCAGATGGAATTCTTATAGAATTTGCTTCTAGTTGATATTTTATTGGTTACAGTGTACGTCGTCAAAAATGTCAAAAATGTTAAATGAAGACAATCAAATCAAATGACATTTTGTCTCATCCATCAGAGATGTCTCAGGAGATCAGGATGCAGGTAAAAGTGTTTGAAAAGATTTTTAAACAAAATAAAAAAATAATTGATGGAAAAATGCAAAAGTCACCAAAATCACTAATAATGCTTCCTGGCTTGATAAAACACATGAATCCTAATTTTGAAATTGGTGATTACGATATTGCTTCGGAAATATTGTGCATGAACAACATTTAAAACAAAGCCACACAGAATGGAAAAACTCAGATTTGAGACACAAATAAATTTGTATTGTGTTTTTACACCACAATTCAGAATAACAGGTTATTCAAACAGGTAATTTTGTTTTACACTCGTATACTATTAAATTCAAAAATTTATCAAATGTACACAATTTTGATTTTGTCACTGAAATGCTGTTTGATGTCTCCAACATTGTACAACGAACAAACATACAAACATGCATTCATGTAATGCAGAGAGTTGCATGTATGATTGAGTATGTATGCTGTCGGGCTTTTGTCAGCCTAATTCGACTAACATATGTATAGGTTTGAACTGGACATCCTACCAATTGTGCTTTGATCGAATATTGTTACATGAGATTGGATGGATTTATTATAAAACCACCAGCAAAATAAGGTAGGTTTTTCGTTTGTATGAGTGTGGCGCTTGTACTGTAGATTCGTTGCCTCGATAATTGTAAATTTGTACACGTATATTTCATAAACAAAAAACATCATTGTCCATAAATGCACGGTCAAGTATAATATACTATGCTCAAAAAGTGCAATATATTGGAATATTGATAGATACAAAATAACTTTATAAGCAGCATGTTAAAATTAAAAAAAAAAAGTAAATAGGCTTTCAAGAAGAAGAAGTAACAAAAATGATCCCAACCGGGTCTCCTTTTTATTGTACTCATTCGACCAAACTCATGCATTAAGGTGCACTCAGTGGCAACAACTTAAACGCAGGAGGATTAAAAATCTTTAAACTGCGCTAGAGGTGTAATAAGACACTATTACCTATTGGATAGCTAATTTTGTTTACTTTTGAAAAAAATAATGAGTGATGATAGTGAAATTATAATGAAAATATAGTTTTAATCGAAAAACATTATAAAACATAAAATTTGTTTGTCTATATTAATAGGGCAGGATTTAATTATCATGATGATACGCTAATTCTCTATATGATTTTAAACATGCTACTTATACTACGTTTCCACTACGTACTTAGTAAGTCATGTTGTAACATAGAGCTTTTTGTGTTTACATTATCATGAGTTACTTAAGGAATGGGAAAGAGCTTTTATGTGTCAAAAAGTTCTAGTTTTAGAGCTTTTCTGTGTTTACATTTTAATTGTAAACAGATGATATTAAATCCTGTAGTGTTAGAAGGAAATAAATCAGCATTGAAGAAAAGACAAAAAATTTAAATAATTTAATATATAATGTTTGTAATGTTTGTAATATTTTTCATAATATAAAAGCAGCAGTTGCTGCATATACAAAAAAAACAAAAAATTACAAATTATTCAAAATCAAAACATCTTCAATGATAACTAGAAACCAAAGAAAGTGCTGGACTTCTGGTAAATGCGGGCAGTAAATATTATTAAATAACGAATACAATTTTACTGAGTTGCTATTTTAGATAAAAATGAAATCAGTATGTCGGTTCTGAGAAGACAACAGAGGGCTTCAAAATAAGTTTAAACACTAAACAACCACAATCCAAATAGAAAAGAAATAAGGCGGTGTTTGAAACAAATTTTCAGTAAGTTTTATTTTAACCAATAGTTACTAATAACACTTATAACTTATAATTAAAAATAAAAACAACAAAAAATGTGTACTTATATATTTTTCATATAATTAGATTTTATATAATTATAAAATTTATATTATTACATTTATAATTTTAATACTTTGTAATATATTAAAAATAAAAATAAAAAAATTTAGTCGATTATCATTGATTTTTCTTTTCTTTGTAGGTGTGTTTTTTTTTTTACTTCAAAAATGTTGACGATAATGTTAACGACGCTGACAGTAACGGTGAGGATTAATCTGCCAGAATTTCCAATGTTGCATTCGTCATATTTGATAATAATTTTGGTCGAATTTTGTTTACTATATTCTATAGTAAAAAAAAAAGCCCGGAAGCTCTTTATATGGCAAATGCAATTTACTCAGTAAATTACGCTTACTAAGTATGTAGTGGAACGTACTGTTAGACAGTTAAAGTTCATCTCACCAATTTCATCACTATGACTGATGAAAAATTCACTTAAGCATAACTCAAGTCACTAAACAAACAATTGTTTATTATTTTGATTAATTGTGCATTGTTTTTAGTAAGAAAAAGGAAATAGTTTGGAAATGTATATAAATAATACAATGGATTATATGCATGTTATCGCACACTCTCACTTTGTAGGCTTAAATGCAGTGACGACGCGTGCCCTATCTGGAAGGGTCTGCAGCCGTTCTAGAATTTTTTTTGTACATATATGCTTAAATTAAAAATGATAAATTAAAATATATTAGATGTTTTATTAATAATAACTATATTACATTAGGCAACAATATATTCACAATATAACATTTAATAATTCATTAACAAAATAACATATTAAAGAAATTAAATTAATAATTTATGTATAAGTTTAATATTAAATCAATATGTGGATTAAATACAACTTTTCACATATATCTTATAATATCAAACCAACTTTTTTCAAACAAAAGAGTTTGTACTTAGAACCATACATGTTCATGCAGTGATCAAACACAATCGAACACACTTGCAACGAATAAATGTGCGGCCAGCTACTCCGCACACAAAGCGGTTATTATTCGTGGGAGCAACAGCTAAAAGGGGAAAGACGAAATATGATAGAAATGTATGGTGATGTGAGCTGCAAACTTATGAGCACAACTAACGACTCTAGTAGCTAAAAGAAACAAATTAAATGAGTTTTCATAGACAATTATATTTAATTGTTTTTGCTAAAACTCAAATCTTTAAAATTTTATATACGAAAATGTAATAAATAATATTATTTCTTGATGTAAAGATATATAATAAATTTATATATATTATTTGACAATTTGCAAATTATGTAAGGGTGTGCGCCGCACACCTCCGCACCTTAGAGCAGTCGTCACTGGTTAAATGTAAAACACGCAATCATTTGTAAGAGTAAATAATAGAGAATAAGATAGATTTTAAATTATGATCTGAGCAAGCTTTGAGTAAAAAGCTTTATTTGTAAGCTCAGACTATTTGAATATAAAAGTAGGAGCATTGCTCACTTAGATTAGATTCCTGTACGGTTAGAACACAGTTATATGTAAATGCTATTCATTTAATAAATATTTTTTTAAAACTTAACCGAACTTTCAATCTCATTAATTTGCATACTTAGATAGCATAGATACTGAATTATTTCGGTACAGAAAAGAATTTCTTTTTACTAATGCTGAAACTTTATGCGATAGTAGCAGACATTGTTGAAAGGTGACATGCTCCAATACATGACTCGACGATTTTTGGAAACTTCGGAATATGTTATAGGTTGGAGTCTAATGAATTCGAAATTGGATTTGTTATTGTAGATAATGGAAATAAAAATACAACATACACCGCTGTCAGGAGTTAATATATTTGCTAAAAGTTTTTTTAAGTCAGTGATTCGAACGCGCATTCGCATTGAACATGTTGTGTGTAAGCAGTAATTTTCAGTCTTATTACTGGAATTTTGGATGAAATTGGCAAAAGTTCATATCATTATATTTTTAAAAGTTGTTCACCAAAATATTTTATTTAATATTTTCTTTATTGTTGTTGATTATTATATTTTGGTTTTATTATCTTTTATTTAATTAAATGCAAAGAAAAAAACCAAAAAACAATCATACTAAACAATAGTCGTATTTTAACAAACAATGGTCTGGATCTTTTTTGCTGAAACAATATGGATCACAGCTGTGCTTTCATACAAAATTTTGTTTTGATTTGTGTTAATAATTTTGGAGCTAAAACAATAATTGAAAAAATTTTAAATATAAAATATAAAAAATCTAAAATATATAAAAAATATAAAATCTGCTGAAATGTCTGAATTAGTAAATATAAACTTCTGTTCTGTTGTCATGTAAAGTACTCTTTATACAATAAATATTAATTGCCTGGTAACTCTGGCCTTAAGTCAGACAACTGTCATTTTTTTCTGTATTCCTTTTATTCATTATTATATTAAATAAAGTGAAGTAAAAACTTGTCGAAATCATCGGATCGTGTGTATCATTTTTTGCTCAAATATATAATATGTTCATTATATACTTTAAAACTTAATTTAAATTCTGTGGTGAATAAATGAAAATTGCAGTTTTCAATAGAATCATTTTCCCCAGCCGGTCTTGCTATTTTGTCCACATATCCCTACTCATCACGATATTTACTGAAATAAAAGTACTTTCTAAGATATTTCGTTGCCTGTTTTGGTTTTTTGAGATTAAAAATCCGTTTCGAGAAAATGGGCCAAAGTTGCAATTCATCCAAGGCAATGAAATGGCAGACAAACTTGCAAGAAGAGGCGCAGCCTCAAGAATGATCGGCCCAGAACCATTCTGTGGTCTAGGCAAAGGAACTCTATCTACTCTCATGAATGGTGAAGAGGAAAAAGAAAAAGAAGTAAAGGTTACCAGGACTCTCACAATCTAAAATGCTGTTAGCGACTTACAACCTAAAACGCTTCATAGGACAATCAAAAAACAACCTTAGCATTATTACGGGATTATTGACCGGTCACTGTACAATGAATATTCATCCAACTCAGACTGTAGATACTGTAGAGAAGAAAAAGAAACTGTATACCATGTGCTTTGGGAGTGCCCGGCACTAATGTATAAGCTGAAAAAACACCTAGGAGGGTGTTTCATGGATCATAAAGATTCAAGACTAGGAAAGATAGGGTCTATTCTATCTTTCATTAAAAAAATCGAATTTGAAGAAACAGCAAAATTAATATTTTTATTTGTACTTTGGTTGTGTGTTGTTAATAATATATAGATATTTATAATTATGTTAATAACATTTTAAAAAGTTTCACATCTTTTAAAAATATATATGTCTTAAAAATATATTGTACTATTTGCGATTTTTTTTTAAATCATAACTGTTCAAGTTCAAGTCTGCGGTTTGGTGAATGTGACCTGTATTTGACTGTCTCTAAAACGGAATATTTTATACAAAAATGCGTTGATCAACATTTATTTAATAAAGTGAATTCATTTATTATCTATATTTAATTAAATAGTTCTTTGTTATTTTTTTGCATCCTATTAAATATTTTTAAAATAGTAATATTGTTTTGCATATATTAAGTTAATTTAAAATTGTATTCACATAAAATTGTATTTTTCTTAAATAAAATATTTTGGTAGATGGGACTATCGGGGAATCGAACACTTAAAATTCAGTATCGCGTTAGCAAGCATACCTCTTAGATGGTGCGGAAAATGCTTATATATTTTATATTTCTTCTAACACTACGGAATTAAAGCGACGAAATTGATCTCCATTCTTCACAATGTTTTTAAATGTCTTAAGAGGTTAATACTTAAGAATTTCTTGAATTTCATACATGAAAAGCATTTCACTTTATTAAAAGAAAGTGAAGTAGTAAGTAGTAAACACATACATTTTTACAATTTTCTTGAGATTTCCTAGGAGTTTTTGCACTGCACTTATGTTAATATTTATTTATTGCACTAATTTATAATTTTTGGTTAAAAATTTACGAATTTATTTATTTATTTATTAAACATCTTATAAAATTTTCACAATGGTAACATCAAATTTACCTAATTTTTATCTAATTTACTCTACTCGAAATTCAGGTAAATACCAGCATTCGCTGCCATACCGACATAATTAACTATCCCTCAATTTAACATCAATTTACTCGAACTCGCAAACGGCCCATATACAAAATTTTTTTTAATGTTAAAATATTATATTAATATTCATTGTCTGTGCATGTGCGAGTTGTGCTAAGTTGATGCTTAACCAAATGGAATTTTCCTTTGGATTTTTTGCGCTGCACACATTTAGCCACTTACTATAAAAAAGTGTGCGAGTTGCATTTTGACAGTTAAAATTAGCTGTGAATATATTTTGATTTCAATACTTTGTTTACATATTTTGCAATGGCGGAGAACGCGCAAATCGATGAAACATTTTTATTTACGCAATTTTGCAAATTAATTTAGTTGCACAATCATCGTAATATATTGAAAGGGAGATTCTTAGTAGAATATCCAAAGGTAATTATAAAATAATTTCAGTATAATTTACAAAATTGGAATGTGTTGAGCACAAACAAAATTATGCAAACGTCAAAAATTACCAAAACAATATTGCCAAGTCAATGAAAAAAACTCACTTAGTTCTCTGGAAACAGTCACTATAATAAAATTTTATCAAATAAATGTTTATGATGTTTAAAATAATAAGAATTTTAGAAAATACAAATAGTTACAAAATTCATTGCAAATGCTTATTAAATAATGAAAAATATATGCAAAAAGTATTCATTTTTCAATACAAATAAAACGAAACGTTTTAATAAAATTATTTTTTATTGTCATTTTCTGTATTCATATATTCATTTAAATTCAATTTTGAAAATATTATCTTATGAAAATATTAAAATGGCAGCCCTGGCGATTTAGTCTCGACTTAGCCACCTCGAAAATATGTTAACACATATGCTAACCAACACATCATTACATTATCGGCACAACTTTGAATTTCCCTCATTTAGAACGCAACTTAGCACAACTCACACACTGCCTAAAACAGAATATTAAAATAATGTAACTTAAAACTCGAAATATATGTATACGTACTACAGAGGCGAGGCGTCGAATGGTTCAGAGTGTGCACTGAACACCTTTACAAAGCTTCCTTTTTAGATCTTTTTTTTATTAGGTAAATAATCTCGCTATTTTGGTACTTAACATTTTTTATAATAGCTTTTCCAAACAGATTAACATAAACATAAAACGTATAATACAAACAAAACCACACATACATATGTTAGTTACACCCAATATTACTTATAATTAATAAAAAAGAAAACACATTCCTCTTAAAATATACTAAGGTTCAGAATAAAAACTGCACCGCGCTGCTTATAAAGCATGCAAATGAAATAACATTCTCATAGGGACTATGTTCAATATTGAATACACAACACAAAACATACAAACAAATATAAAAATAAAAGAGAAAACAAGCCGCGCATAATATGTACGTAAAATAATCATAACTCTTAAATTAATGCGTGCAAGCGGTTCAATAAAAAAGTGAACCTTCAATGTTATGCAAAGTAAATACAAAAGAGAAAAGAAATGATTGAGAAAAAATCGCTTTACGTTTGACGAGAGGTTCAATCGACTAAATTGAACCGCAAGTTCATAGAAAGCGTGCAAATACAATCAAAGTCATCGTTGCCGTTTTATATGGGCAAATGGTTCAATAAAAAAACTGAACCGTGCATAGTAAATACAAAGTAAAAGAGTAATGAATACATGAGAGTTTCTTACTCTTATGTAGATGTTGGAAATAAAACAAAAACAAAGTCATTATTGCAATTTTATACTAGCAAATGGTAAAAGTAAAGAAAAAAATTAAAGAAATTTGAAATGAAAAATAATATTTAGAAATGGATAAATGTGTGATTAAAGATTTTATTCAAATATCTTTTTTTAAACGATCTTCTGAAAAAAAGGTTTTAATTCATAAAATGAATAGACCAACTCCAGATATGAAGAATTTGGTACCTGATATAAAAATGTCGAAATTTGTGGTTAGTCGCCGTTTGCCCACAGCTATTTACCATAAAAACCAGTGGATCACAGGTTGCGAACATTTAAATAAATTGTTTTGTTGGTCTTGTACGCTATTTGCTTGTGGAAAGGACAAAACTCAGGAGTAGGAGGAATACATTATAGTTGGAATTCTATTTTGATCAAAATGTGAACACCTTGCCAAAAAGCTGACGCTTCGCTACTGACGTACTAGCTTCTCTATTAGATGCTAACTTTTGGTATAAATGTATTTTTAAGTAATATACATATATATAGAAATTGGTATATATGCAACATGATAAAGAATAACTTTTATTTTAACAAATACTATACAATTTGTTCACTTTGTCATAACACTTTCATGACTAATTATATATATTTACTTACATCAATAATAATTATAGCACTGCTGATTTTAGCTTATCTATTATTTATTAATATTTGATTTATATAGCAAATTTAAAATTTGTATAAAAATTGAAGCAAAACTAATATAAGAAATCATGCCTACATATACTCATTCAAATGAATTTAATAGATACAATGAATTTTCTGGTAACAATAATTGATACTATTTATTCTAATAACTACATGCAACCGCAAATGTAGTAAACATTTATGTTATAACAATTCTGATATGGTGAATAAATATAAGACATTTTTTTGTCTTATATTACACACAGAGAAGCACAATTATTCAAAATTTTTTCTCAGTTTCTTTTTTTTATCTTCTTTGTAGATATTTTAGTTCACAATAGAGTTTTCTTTCTTGTGGAGTACACTTTGTGGTGTGGTGTTTCTAAATTAATATTAAACAAAATTTTAGTGACTTTTGTACAGTACGCAAACTAGTTTTTGGGAAGAGTTATCAAAAATATCAGAATAATTCCAATATCGAAATTATGAAAATAGTTGGCAGTACCTTTTAATAGTCGAATTACTCGCTGTTCTCTGTTTGTTACATGTATGTATAACAACGAGTATCTGGTGGCCGCCATTTTCAGCTCTCGTCGGAGTTGCGTAGCGTTGGTAGTTCATAATTGTTTTTACGTGTTGTATATTATTAGTGGTAATATGACAAATAATTTGTTTCACATATGCAGAAACATTTTTGTTGCTTAAGTATAGTTAAATGACAACTGTGTATAAAAAAAATTTACTTGATTTCTGTAAGCGGTTTACTGGAATATCAAAAGACTTTTAGACGATGTAGTCTTGAATTGTGTACTTAATTGTAAAAGGAGGTACTTAAAGACCTTTAAATATCTTTTTAAGATTACAATTAAAAGCAATTTTAAATAAAATACTCCTTTTGTATTTCCAATGAATATAAAACTTGAGTTATTGAACATGTGTTATAGAAATTTACTAACATTACTTATTTAAAGTATCCCAGTTATTGACCAATATTTTCTGATGCAGTTCTTCCACCATCAGATTTTCTAATTGTCGCACTTAAAATTGAGAAGCTTAGATATTTTCTTATACATAAGCAACTATAAGAGACAATAATTCCTAGCCTATTGTTTGATACATATATAATTTAAAAATGAAATTTGTGATTTTTCCTTAATGTTCCGATAATATTTTTCAGAATAAGTTTTACTACGCAGAAACGGTACATTTTGAAATAATGCACTGTATGTTAGAAATAAATTATTTATAATCGTACATTTTTACTGATTTGAACCAAACCAGAGTATGGATTTTAAAAACAACAGTGCTGTGGTTAGCATTACGGGAAATGAACTAAACCCACAGTCACATTCAACGACTGATCACACTAACAGTGTGTCTTTTAAAGAAGGCTTCCTAGAACATGGTAATTTCGTTTTAAAAAAATGTTAAATAAATACTAAGATTTTGTTTGTGCGGTGTAGGCAGTGATGTTATGGATGAAGAAATTTGCACTAGATTTAGATGGAAACGTGT